TTTTTTTACAGAGGATAATGTAATTTTTTTTTATAAAAAACAACTTTTCACCTACTTTTTTAGTGACCAAATAATTTTTAATTAGTTTTAAGACATTTATAACTTCACTTTTAGGATCGAATGAGTCGCGTAAATTCAAAGTGTTTTGTTGGTTTGTTAAGTTTCGGTTACTTATACAACCTTTTTGGCACTGGATCTGACAAGGACATATTGACAAATGTTTTGTTGTTTTTGGAATATTGGCGCCCTAGTTCGTGGTGTAGAGAAAAAATCTGAGACTGGAGTTCTGTGTAAAACTGGACAAAAGTACTCTATCACACTGGTATTCTGTCAAGGGAGATAATGGGAGTGGTTGCAGAACTTGGGACCGCTACAACTAAGTTATTCTTTAGGGAGTACCCGGTCTCGTCAAAACAGCGTCTATTATACAGTTTGAAATTTGTGAAAGGAACAGAAATCGAAGAAAAAATATTGAAAACATGTTTTAAAAAAATGTTTGCCAAAAAGCTGAGAAAATACATTTTTTAATAATATTAATGTCGATGTTTACAACGCAATGTATAGAATTTAACAAGCAGTACATAAAAATGGCGATTTTAGAACTTTTAAATAATGGAGTGGTGAGGAGAGGGGGGGGGGGGGTTGATGGTCTACTGCGCAGTGTATGAAGAGTATAGCAAAAATAAAACTTAATCGTAAAATATGTTGTACACTCTACAGTGCATTTTACGTAAATCTATTTACACAATTGTTGTAAATATTTTTTTAATATGAAATGCTCTTTACGGCTAAACTGGGTATTCGCAGAAGAGATTATGCAAATTGTTAGGAAGAGATTAAGTAGTTAGAATTAATATGACTGGACAGTAGAACTCGTGACTGGATTAGCGTGCAAACTTTCGTCCATTTTCTGTGTAAAACTAAGAATAAGTGATAGAGGATAGCTTAAGAAACAAATACGTTCTCTAACCCATGTGTTTATATATAATTAAACTTTTAAAAACTTTCATTTAAAATCTAAAATAAGAGCTACTCTTGAAAACTTGAGCGATGTAAAAAAAATAAAAATACAACGGTTTTGTTAATTTTCAAGCTGGATTTTTAAACAATAAGCAAAAATATGTGTAAATCTAAATTACAAAACATTCGTATCATATTTTACACCTGATATTGTAGGAACGTTTAAATTATGCTTCGTAATGCGTTTTAAACAATATTTTACAAAACTTAAAGAAGAAAAAAAGGTAATATTTGACTAAAAACGACCGTATTTGAGCTTGAAAACTGTTGTAGTTTTTTGTTTGTTTTTGGTTTAATATTTACTCGGAGCTTACTTCCTTCCCTTATCATGTTGTTTAGAATTCAGCATTTCGTATAGATCCTATTTCTTGTTATTTTTTTAACTTTAAAAAAAAATGCATTGCGGTAATTAGAAACGTTTGAGGGTCGGCCCGCCATTTCTCGCGTTGCTAAGGATGCTCGACTGCAACTAGTGACGTCATTTCCTCTTTGAGCAGCCAATTAGTTTTCAAGCGGCAGATAATCGGCTCGAACTATAACCACGTGGGATCAGAATGGAGAATCAATTCAAATAGAATAACGAGGCTGTATGTGCGCATGTGTGTCTACGCGCATGCGGCTAGGTGTATATGTATTTCAGTGCGTTTGTCTGTGTGTGTGTTATTTGTGTGAGTATGCGTGTGTTTCTGTATGTGAGAGAGTTTTGTGTGTATATGTGAGTAAGCGTTTGTTTCTGTGTGTGTGTGTGTGTGTTTGTGTGTTAGTCGTCTCGGCCATTCGTTGCTCTAGCAAGATCAAATACTTGCTGGGTTGTAATTTGCAACTTAGTTTTTCGGGACGTTGAGATTCTATGCAGCGAGATCAATCTAATTTTACTGGAAGTTGAGTTGCTATACAGCGGCATCATTTGACGGGAGATTTATGACGATCAATGGCTCATAAATATTGTAGTCCCTTTTGGTGATGTCATTAAAGAGATCAGCAGCTCCTCGTGAAATAATCGAACTATCGTTTCTATACGAGAGGATGGAACAAACTCGAGTGCAAATGATAACGAAAATAATCTTTCGAGGGGAATTCCCGTCTTCCCCACCCCCACTCTCCGCCCAAGCATGTCCTGTACTCAGAGGCGTAGCTGCTCATTCTTCCGAAGAGCCTGGTACGTCGGACTCCCAAGTCCCCTACATAATAGCGTGGGGGAGGAGAGGTACAAGACTGCCGGGAACCAAAAAGGACCGCTCTCGACCCTAACCAGATATCTTGACTTTAAGCTGCGGCCTTCACGTGGCTTCGGAAGAGTGCCACTAGTCGGACCAAGCCCATGACCCCCCTAATGGGTGCGGAATGGCTAGTGTTAACCAACAGCAGCTAGAGGTTTTTGATCTGGCCGAGTAGAACTGCTGTATGCGCTAAGTTCAAAGAACGGCCGAACGCCCCCCCACGATCAAGCTGGGTACCAAGCGGTAGGACGACGTCCCGCGTCTGGTGGGTGGGGAAGGAAAGCCCGGTGAGAGCCGACGGAAGTAGCGACAGATGTGTGGGAAACTCTTGGGGATCGGAGTTTGCTACACTGAGGCCTGCCTGGCTAATGGAAGTCAACCTTCTGAGCCGGTTTCCGTATAAGGAAGGAAGGAAGCTGCTAATTCTGACGCCTGCTAGATATCAATCTCCTCCACCCTTCCGTTTATATATAGTTGATCAAGTTGGCAAAGAAGCGACCACCACCCTCCCACCCCCCAAATTTGGAAAGCTGGGGTGCGCATTATACCAGTCACGGTCCTATTTTTTAAATTTTTATCTCACACAACTGATGTAGAGAACAGTAAAATCAGTTTGTAAAGCCAATTCGCGGTATATTTTATTAGTTTAGACTGTAAATAATTCGAACATGCAGTTCAGAATGAGATTTCATTTACTTTTTTTTCTTCCACAGTTGGAGCATCCCTAAAGCCGATGTCCTAGGCGGCCGCCCTACCCGCCCTCCTTTAACTACATCTCTCCCTTTACCCCTTCCGATAACAAAAATAAAAAATAAAATATCAAATTAAAATAAAATAAAATAAAATAAACCGGGAGTGATCTCCCCAAAACTTTCTCGAATATTCTAATATAAGTCTTTATAACACTACGTGGGATGGCAACTCGGAATATAGACATTATTTTTGTTTACTTAAACTTTTAAAAATAGAATAGAATCTAGTAGAAAAAAGAATTGCGCACCAAGCGAATGTCAAATAAAGATGTGCATAATAGTGCGCAATATTATTAGTACTTTATTTATTTACATGCGTTTTTTGAGAAATCGGAAAATGCGTAAATTAGTACTTCCGGTCAACGGAAATTACTCAAAATTTGATAGAAGGTAGAGAATTAGAACTTTTACTTACATGTGAAATTTCATTTATCTATCTGAAAAAATACTCAAGTTATAGGCTTTTGAAAATTCAAAGTAGAAAAAGTACCACTTCTGGTTATCGGAAATCGCTCAAAAGTTGATACGGATCTACGATTTTGATAAAATACTTATATATGAAATTTCATCAACCTAGCTGTAACGGTACTCAAGTTATCGTCTTTACACACAGACAGACACACACACAGACAAACACAGACATACGGACAAGATTGCAAAATTATGTTTTTCCGTATCAGTGAGGTGTAAAACGTCGAGATTTGTAAAAATCTCGATATTTTTTTGCACGATTACAAGACTTTCTCTATACTTCGTATATACGATAAAGTAAAAATGTAGTTTAACCATTGTCCAACCCCTCCCCCCACCCACCCCCACCCGGAAGTTTCCGAAACAGACCCTGGTCTCGCTGGAGATACCTTAAAAGAAAAAAAGCTAGTCCGAGTTCCCATCTTAACCTATTATCTAAAACAAGCCGGAATTTTTCCCCACATAAAGAGATAAGAATCTCATTCCGTCGCAGAAATGAACCACCGAGACAGGTCTGGGCTGTCTCAGGAATGTCTTGCAGACACAGACGGTGCTGGTGAACTCCAGACTTCCAGATTCTGTAGTCAAGTGCTACCGAACGAGCGAGTTGTCAATGTCTATAAAATGTCGAACACGTTTGCGACTTTCTCAACATGGACTAAACAGATTAGACTGTAATTTCTCCATTTCCATTTCGGAATTCGCAAATTACCACTAGTACGTAGGGGTTAGTGGGTGCTTTTTGTAGCGAAATGAAATATATTGTAAGAGAAAGGGGATGAGAATAGCGTACAATTTGTATTTCTTAACCATAAGATGATAAATATTGGCGAATTGCTTCTATTTTTGTTTTGTTTTAGAGTTTGGTGAAGTTTAATTTTTTTACGCAGAGTAGCTATTTTATAAGAGGTTTTTATTACATGAATAATAATAGAGACAATGGAGATCATTCAACATTATTAGAAGACGACTCTTGTCATTCCATAGGTCACCCTTCTCATCCCCATAGGTCACCCTTTCATCCCATAAGTCAACCTCATCCCATAGGTCACCCTTCTCACCCCATAGGTCACCCTTCTAACCCCAATAGGTCACCCTTCTCATTCCATAGGTCACCCTTCACATCTCATAGGTCACCCTTCTTATCCCATAGGTGACCATTCTCACCTCCATAGGTCACCCTCATACCCATAGGTCACCCTTCTCATACCATAGGTCACGCCTCTCATCCTCATAGGTCACCCTTTCATTCCATAAGTCACCCTCATCACCATAGGTCACCATTCTCACCCCCATAGGTCACCCTCATCCCCATAGGTCACCCTTCTCATCCCATAAGTCACCCTTCTCACCCCATAGGTCACCATTCTCATCCCATAGCTCACCCTTCTCATCCCATAGGTCACCCTTCTCATCCCATAGGTCACCCTTCTCATCCCATAGGTCACCCTTCTCATCCCATAGGTCGCCCTTCTCATCCCCTGATGTAAAGATACTCTCATGTTGAAGTAATATTGGTGTATAAGAATCCACCTACCTGAACGTATGTCACAAACGGGCATGAGAAGTCCCCGTACGGCCAGTGAAGAAGGATCAGGTTCGCCATGAAGGTGTACGGCACGCAAATCACGGCCTTGATGACGTCACTGACGGCCAGGTTCAGCAGGAACAGGTTGGTGACGGATCGCATCTTGGGGCGCATGACGATGACGTAGGAGAAGAGCAGGTTGCCGCCCACGGCGACCATGATCTGGAGCACGTACATCAGCACGATGATGACCTTGGCGTAGGTCGGCTGCCAACTGGGCGGGGCGCTCGAGCATGACGTCATGTTGTGCAGGCCGGACGTGACGTCACTGACGGAGAGCTCCGTGAACTTGAGCACGACGGAGGAGGAGGAGGAGGTGGTCAGGAGGAGGCTGCCGGTCACGTGACGGTCGTCGAAGGAGGAGCCTTCCCCGCTCGTGTGAGGGGCGTCGGGGTAGATCTGCGTGGTGATGACGTCACTTCCGATGAGCTTGTCCCCGGTTAGGGTGGCGTTCATGGAGGCGAGCTTGTTCATTCTGAAATGGATTGGAAATACGTCATACCGGAAATACGTCATACCGGAAATACGTTATACCGGAAAAAAATTATACCGGAAATACGTCAAACCAATATTAGTCATCAGCTATTAAAATTTTGACTTCCATGTATCGAGAGCGTAGATATATAGAATGCCGTAGATTTATTTTTTTTCGTTCAATCTATACGCTGGTGATGGAATGCGTTAGAAGGCTTACAGCATTTGTGTAAAGTTGTGTTTGGTATTTTTAATGGATGCATTGGTTTTAGGTAAATCACTTTCAGTCTCAGCCAAGGGAGGGGGCCTTCGACAAAAACACTTGTCAACATTTTTCAGTATTTCCATTAAAATATACGACGTGTTAAATTGGTTAACAAGGCTTAAAACGATACTACGCTTAGCAATACAAAGCGATACTACGGAAACCAAGATAAGTAGGACACCACGATAAGTAGGACAAAAAGATAAGTAGGACAACAAGATAAGTAGGTCACGGGATAAGTAGGACACCAAGATAAGTAGGACACATGATAAGAAGGACATCACGATAAGTAGGTCACCACGATAAGTAGGACACCAAAATAAGTAGGACACATGATAAGTAGGACACCAAGATAAGTAGGACACATGATAAGTAGGACACCAAGATAAGTAGGGCACATGATAGGTAGGACACCAAGATAAGTAGGACACCACGATAAGTAGGTTACCTCGATAAGTAGGACACCAAGATAAGTAGGACACCAAGATATGTAGGACACCACGATAAGTAGGTTACCTCGATAAGTAGGACACCAAGATAAGTAGGACACCAAGATATGTAGGACACCAAAATAAGTAAGACACATGATAAGTAGGACACCAAGATAAGTAGGACACCACGATAAGTAGGTCACCTCGATAAGTAGGACGCCAAGATAGGCAGAACACGAACTTCAAGGCTCAACATCAAGATAATTACGGTGACCTTTAAGCAAGACAGAGAGATCAACATGACACCATGATAGGCAGTACACTGCGATGATCAGGCCTCAAGGACAACAATCGGACCTTGACCTAAGTCAGGGTACAAGGTCAAACAATCAGAACTTGACCTTTCAGCAATCTACCAAATAAAATGACTAGAACTTGACCTTAAGCAGGCCTCGATATCAACCAATCGGTAACTGACGTTGAGTGGCCCATAAAGTTAGACAAACGGCTAGTACAAATATCCCTACCCACCCTCACCCCCCCTCACACACCCTCACCCACCCCCACCCACCAGCCAGACACCACTTACTCACGTTTGCTGAAGCTGTCACTCAATCAACAGTGACCGCACGTGCGCCGTCCCACACGAGAACTCACGACGCACACACTCAGTCCGTTTTTTTATTAACAGTTTCCCTTCAATCCTCAGAACGTGACGAAACACATTGGAGCTAACTTAATGCTAATTCATACAAACTTTCTTTCTATTGCTATTTTTTTTCATATACACATCGGAGGTAACTTAATGCTAATTTATAAAAAAAAACTTTCTTTATATTTTTGATACACACATTGGAACTAACTTAAGGGCATGGGCGGGTGATGAGTACCAACTTCCTTATTTCCGAGTCTAAAGATGTAATACTTGGCTAATAGTTATAACTCAAAGAGATAAGCATAAAAATATTTTTTTAAATTTTTTAAATCCTCCGTTGCCATGGTGACGGCGGCCATATTGGATTTTATTGACGATTTTTAAATGGAAATAACTCAAAAATGGTTTGTACAAATTTCATAAAAACTTAATATAGTCTGAAGACACATGTGTTTAACACTTCTGATAGATTACATTTTCAAAAAAGACGATAGTTTTTTTTTTACTTTTTTTTCCTATACATCACTGTAAAAATTTCATTATTTCGTCCAATTTTTTCACTATTTCAACAATAAAAATTTTTTTTTTTTTAAATTTCCAAAAGTGTTCTATCAGTTTTATTTGAACATATATACAGAGTAACTGGAGCAAATTTAGTTCAGTTCTGATAATTATTAACAAAGTTATTTCACTAATTGTACACAAAAGTATCAAACTGAGAAAAACGCAAAAAAACAACAAAAAGTTGCAAAAAAAGAAAATTTAAAGCTGTATGTCACTAAAACTGACCACATTTATTGCCTGAAGTATGGTGCTGCTGAATATATTTCTTCTGAGCTTGTTCAGCTGTTAGTTTCCTTTTTTTCTGGCTTTCTTTGTTGTACCTAGAGCTGTAGTAAAGCTGTTGCGAAGGCGTCTTTTTTGGCGTCCTTCACTGAGTCTTCGACTATGGTTTCCTTCTTTTGACAGCAATTCTATAGCATGCATGGGCCCAATACTGAATTATGCTATCGCAGAAACAGCAGTATATTTTGCATGGTCTCATGTCTAAAGCCAATTATGATAAGACGATGTCTTTGTTTATTATGAATGGCCTTGTTCTGGATTCTTTTGCAGTTGTATACATACGGTTTACAACATTTTTATTACTGCCACACCATGCTTGAAGCAAACCCTTTACACTTTTTTTCATCAATAGTAGCCACTACATCACAGTTACACTCTGGGCAAGGAAATGTATTGATAACATCAAGAAGCAAATCACAGTCGACAATAATTCTGCATGGCTGTTGTTTACAATTAGCACTACCATACTAGATGTAACAGTGCTTTCTTCTGTCTGTAAAAACTGTCTTACATTGCCGCAGTTTCTTAGTAAATGTGCATATTACATCTGCACCAGTGCTTGTCTGAATAGTGCTAGATTGAGTAGAGGTAGATGCAATCAGTTGCATTCGGACGTGCCTTTGCTTTAGTAAATTCGTTAGATGTGTGTATCTATTTTTAGCGAGTGTTTTGTTCTACCCATTATCGAAAGAGAAACAAATTAAATCGTCTGACTGCTTATGATAATTCACACAAACTAATCTAAACTGTTAAAAGTATATTTAATTTAAATAATTATATGTTAAAATAATGTAAGTATTTCACAGAAGCTTAGAGAAACAAAACTAGATCAAACTTAGCAACGCGCCGAAACTAAGGGATTGTTTACTTACGAAGCGAAACGACCAATCGCTAACTAGCTTCCGCCGTTGAATGCCAATGAAAAAATTGAGGTCAAAAATTTGCATACCGGAAAAACCCGACTGAGTAAAATAAACAACTTTATGACGTAGAAAAATAATCACATTAAAATAGGTATTTTGATTGGTCCTTTAATTTTAGAACAAATAAAGAAAGGAGGTCACGGCCTTTCCATTGATATGAAACACATTAGGCTTCCGCAAAATCTAATAGTACTTTTCTAGGTCGAAAAATGGCTATTTTTACCGAAAAAGTGAACAAATTACCCTGAACACACTACTTTGAACCCGGTTTTTCATAAATAAATAATGTTTTCAGGGTCATAACAATGTCATTTTTAGATTCAACGATGGTTATTCTGTATAGATCAAGTAAAAGTGGGAAATCGATGATTTAGTGGATTTATGACGAAAAGTACACCCGCCCATGCCCTTAATGCTAATTTATTAAAACTAGTCATCGATATTGCTTCGTTGAGGAGGAGATACGACTTAAAGCCCGGACACACATACATCCATACATCCATACATTCATCCATCCATTCCCAGAAATGACGAGTTAATAAACGCAATTCTCCAGAATGGAAATTGCGCTAAAAACGTTCTTTATATTTTTATACACACGCTGGAACTAACTTAATCCTAATTCATAAAAACTTTAAAACTTATATTTTCTATACACACATTGGAGCTAACTTAATGTCAATTCATACAACTTTTCTTTATATTGTTGTTTTTTATACAAACACTGGAGCTAATTTATCCAACAAAAATTAAAAAAAACCTAGTTACTCTAAAAAAAACTCGGCAAGCAAACAGTTCTTAACAGATAAAAAAATAACAACAAAATTAAAGCAGTAACTAATTAACTATCGAATAATCAAGCTCATAACATGGGTGCTTAGTGCAAGCTGCTATAATTGCTCAATGTGACTACCTCCAGAGATGACGCAAGTTATACGTCATAGAGGTCAAGCAGAAGATAGCAGAAACAGAGCATAGTCAGTTAGACCAATAGAATTACAGATGACCGGTCACGTGAGACGGTCACATGACCAGTGAAGCGTGGGTCGGCATTAAAGATAAATAGCGCTAGATGAAAGATGTAGAAGTTAAAATGTAAATAGTGTTAGAGTTGGTCATGGCAGTGTTTAGGTATAAGTGTTAGTTGCATTTAGACAGAGGTGTAGCGAGGTGGGGGTGCGGACCGCACCGGGTGACACCATTTATGGGGGTGCCACCAAGGCAAAAAAATAGCAAAATATATACAGAAAAAGGATAATTCCACCCTATTAAGTGATTAATTAGAGTGTTAAATAGTCTTTTAAGAGCAAATTTGACAAATCCCGACAAGGGTGGATGGGGAGGGGGGGGGGGGTGCTGACACCATGATGTAAACGTAACAACAGACATATAAACAAACTTTAGGTCTTACATTTCTTGCCTTTGAGAGAAAGTTTTTAATCAACATTTTGTGACAAGGACGATCTAAAAAGACTTTCTACATACATATATACATACACACATACGAACTCTTACACTCACCTCAACACATGCGTATAAACATACACAAATACGCACACACGCACCAACGCGTGCACACATACATACACACGCACACAAATAAACAGACACCCGCGTTAACTCTCTCACAGCCGTACACACAAACACAC